TACAAGAACCAATACTGAGGAAGGCTTTTAGCCAAAGTGCATTTGGTATTGGTTTCTTTTTTTAAAAAACAATTTTTATTTTATATTTTTCTTTGTCTCAACTTTTTTGGTTACCTCTCTCACATGTAGCTGCCTAATCCTGAATCAGACCCTTAATCAAGTTCACTGCTGTCTATTCAGACTGGCATTGAGTCTGCAGGGTTTTAGGCAGAGGCCTCTCAGGTCACCTACCACCTGATCCCTTTACCTGGAGATGGCCAAGGACCGAACCCAGGACTTTCTGCATGCTAAGCAGATACTCTGCCACTAAGCCAGGGCCCTTCCACCTTCTCTATGCATTGTGGGAACCTCTATGCCCCTTCCTGCTCTGCACCCGAACACCTCTGCAGGGCTGAATCAAACAGAGCCAAACATGAGTGAGAAGTACATGTCTGATTCCCAGAGTGCACTGGGAAATCCATGTGACCCGCAAAGTTCTTGCAGGGCTATTCCAAGGCAGGCAGGGCACGGGGCCAGGCAGGTGTGTCTTCATTTGTTGTAGTGTTTGGTGTCGTGGTTAAGTGTGCAGACTCTAAGCTGGGAGAACCGGGTTTGATTCCCCACTCCTCCACTTGCACCTGCTGATGTGACCTTGGGTCAGTCGCAAGCTCTGGCACAGCTGTCCTTGAAAAAGAGCAGTTTGTGTCAGAGTTCTCTCAGCCCCACCCACCTCACAGGGTGTCTGTTGTGGGGAGGGGAAGGGAGAGGAGTTTGTAAGCCGCTCTGAGACTCCGAGTGAAGGGTGGGGTGTAAATCCAATCTCCTCTCCTCCTCCTCTCCTCCTCCTCTTCATTCAACAACCAAACAGGCCATCTCCACATGAAGCTGCCTTCTGCTTGACTCAGACCCCTGGTTTATCAGGGTCAGTGTTGTCTACTGTGACTGGCAACAGCTCTTCAAGATCTTCACCGTGTCCCGTCTGGGTCCCTGCTGCTTGGAGAAGCGGAATGAGACAAGGCACAGGCATGAGCCTCCCTCGATGGCTCCAGCATACAGTGGTGATTTGCGCATGTGAACGGACTGCCAAGGAATTAGACCTTTAGTCAATTTCGTGTTCTTTCATTAAACATAGGATTAAACATATAATGAAATACTTGGGCCTGAAAACATGGGGGAAGAGATCAAAGGGGAACATCTGGGGTTTGTCATGAGAAAGTTAACAAGTCTGACTCGGTGCCTTGGAGAACAGAGACCAAAGGGAGCCACATCATTTGGTCACTGAACGCACACCTCACTCTTTCTGTGGGTTGCTTGTTTTACACTTCAGAGAGAAGCCCCCTGTCTCACACACAAAAACCTTTATTGGCATGAAAGCACAAAACATCATGGAAATACAAGGAAATACTAAGATGCATCGGTCACTGAAGCACCCTGTCATAAACTGCTTCTCTGCTGAGCCATTTGTTGCCGCAACTCCATGTCAAGATAACTTCGGTGCCCTGAGTTTTGGATTGGCTGAAAGGGCCCCAGCCTGTCCAAATCTTAGACTTTAAGAAGTTTAGCTTTCCTGTTGTTAGTTGGAGTAAGCCAGCTTCAGCTCTCCTGGAGGCAATGAGCTAATCCTGTCATGGGTTAGACATGGGCCTGGCACACACAGAGACCTGGAAAGATGCTTGACTTCACCTAAGAAGAGTAACCTGTGGTAACTATAACAAATTGAGAGTCCAGTGGCACCTTTAAGACCAACAAAGGTTTATTAAAGGTATGAGCTTTCGTGTTTTGTTTTTCTGCTCATCACTTTGTGCTTTGGGAAATATCCCTGCACTCTTTAATAGATACTTTTAATATATCTAGTTGTTGTTCCGGTTGATGGCGGCACGCTAGCAGACTCACCTCCTGGACCTCCCGGGGGTGATGCTGCGCTCCGGTCGAAGGAGGGGGTGTGCAGGCTCACTACTCCCCCAGGGACACGGCTGAAGGGACCCTGGCCATGGAGCTTTTGAGAGGTTGCCTCTTCGATGGCGCAATGTTGGAGAATTGAGGCAACTCTCCGCTTTGACGGTTCTTCGTGCTAAGAGACCGAATGGACTAAGTGACGCTGACCGGGGCAAGCGTAGGAGATCAAGCGTTAGAAATGGAGTGTAAACGAGGTCCGTGGACCGATTATGAACGTGAGTCGTTTAAGCATTGATTAAAAAGAAAAGAAGCTCCCCACCCCACGGAACAGAAGATAAGGCGAGCGAGGGAGAGACATCTCCCAAGCGCATAGACTTTAGAGCGAATGAGGGGGGGAGTGGAAGTATAAACAGTTAAAACTGTTACTTACCAAGACGAGTGCGAGCGTTTAAGCGCATATTCAGAGACTTTCAAAAAGTTTGCGAAAGTAAACAAAGCGAAAAAGATGGTGGGGAAGAGGACGGAGAAAGAGAAACATCTGAAATTGAAAGTAACTGAGAGCCCAAAACCGAAAGGAGCCAACAAGCCGGCAAAGACTTTGGCAGACTCCATGCGCCACCTGCTGGACCAAATGAATAATCTCAAAGAGCAGATGACATCAATGATCCAGTGTATCACCACTCAACAAAATCAGATAAGCGAGACTTTGAAAATGATGAATCAAACAAATGAGAAGGTGAAAGAAGTGGATGCCACTACCCAAAAGGTGAAGAAGAAAGTACAAAAACTGGAAAAGAAGCAAGTTTCTATAGAAGAGCAGCTGCTACAATTACAAATGGAAAAGGCTAATATGATCATTTGCTTTCAGGACATGCCAGAGACTAAGGGAGAGAATCTGAAGGAAATGATGAGTGAAATACTGGCCCCAGTGACAGAGATGAAGGCGGAATCGTTGCTAAGCGAAATGGATGTGGCCTATAGGTCATATTCAGGATACATAAAGAAAAATAATCTGCCTGGGGAAATTGTTGTAAGATTCTCAAAGAGGCATGCAAGGGATGCAATCCTGAAAACAGTATCTGGAGCACCCCTGAGAGCTGGGGAGAGTGTTATCAGAGTACTGAAGGATATTCCATTTGAAATAAGACAGCGGAGAAAGAAATATAAAGACCTTGTTCTTTTTCTTCAAACAAATTCAATTGGATATAGATGGTTAATTCCAGAATACGTCACCTTCAAAATTAAGGATAAAAAAGAAAAGATTGACTCTGTTCTGAAAGCAAGAGAATTTTTAAGTGTCCAGCTGGGAGGGCCAGAGGAGGAAGAAAAAGGAGACAGCAAGTCCAGTGGCGAGCTGGACTCGGGTTCTTCCGGAGAGGACTCTCTGTCAGAGAAAGGGGCAGCAGCTCCTAAAAGTCCTTATAAGTTGCGGAAGAGACTGGACAAGAAGAAGTGAAGGCTGAAGGACTCTGAAGTGTGGCTTTGAAAAATTTTGAATTGAGATGCTTTGGGGTATTTCCTTATATCAGTTAAATTTAAGATTTGGGAAAAGTTAATAGAATATGTGACTCAGTTTGAGATTAATATGATTAAGACTAGATGTGTATTTAAGCTGATTAGAAAATCTCCTCTCGTGGGTTTTTAGTCAGTAGTGGGTATCTTTTCTTTATCCCCTAAATGTTAGTCCCCTTCCTTATTTCTTGTAGTTTTAATAAAAATGCAATAAAAATTCCCCATCGGGGAGGGAAAAAAGAAGAAGAATTAGCCAGCCCACTTTGCTCTATATATATCTATATATCTATATCTATCTATATCTATCTCTCTATCTCTCTCTCTATCTATCTATGTCTATATATCTATATCTATATATCTATATATCTATATATAGTTGTTCTGTGCTTCAGAAGTTTCAATCAAATTCCAGGACCTTAGACTTAATGCATTGGTTAATTTTGGTTAATTTTAGTGGAAACTCATTTCTTAATTAATTCCCAGTAAGGCTAGAAGCTTGCCCCTTGGCTTCTGACTGTGGGGGTAGTTCAAGGGGCTGGTACTGGTGAGTGTGTGGACACATGCCCCAGGGTTTTGTCATTTTAAGCTCTGCCCACCTATAGCAAGGATCCCCTGGACTGGGAATCTTTGACCTAAGATAACACCACCATCCACAGAACTTTGTGTAGTGCTGCATACCACTTCCCCTGGCGAGGTATTCTTCCCCCCACCCTCCCCAGTGTGATCCTGACATAAACAAGGACATTCAAACTTTCTGTCAGTTTTTCTCCCTGCTGGCCCCTCCCTCCCTCCCTCTCTCCCTCTCTCCCTCCCTCCCTCTCTCTCTCTTTCTGGATCTGGAAGAGGGACAGTCTGCAGCCAGCAGAACTGCAAGCCAAATATTTTAAGATGTCCTCTTTCTCTTCACTTCACTCTCCTCTCTCCTTTCCCCCTCCCCTCTTTACCTTGAATTTTTGTTTAAGGGGGGGGGGATTCAACTCCAAACCAGAAAATCCTTTTGATAAAAGAGCATCTTTTCTTTAAAGGGACGGGGGTGGGGGAAGAGGAAAACAAAAGGCACCAGACCTCGCGTCAATTAAAGCAAAGACAATGCATCTGTTGATAACACAAATGAAATTATTGTTAACGGCTCTCCTTCCATTTCCTTTTCAGCGTGCCACAAGTCAGGAGAAATGGGTTGGGCAGGTTCCAGCTCTTGTTCTCTCACCGACTCCTCCCCAATAAAAATGCACATCGCCCAACAAAACTTGTGTGTCCTTCAGAAGCACTTAATCTTCCACAGTGGTACAAAGATCAGGTTGGCAAAGAGCTGGGCTGGCTAAATGTAGCAGAACAAGAAGAGGCTGGCAGCAATAGGGGGGGGGGGACACCCACTTTTTAAAGTGCATAAGTAACGGGATGGCTATTTTAATAAGACCCCATTCCCGTGCAGAAAAACACAATCAAGCACCCCTTCCTCTCTGCTGAGCGCTCTTTATGGGCTGTGCCACTGAAGAGGGCGACAAAGCTATTGCGCAGTCTATGGGTGGGTCTGGGGAGATGAGTAACAGTTACCAAGAACTGCCATGATTAGTGATAATGCGTGGGAAATTACTGGAGGGAAGGGGATGAGCCCGCCACACGTTGATTGCTGCTAGTTCTGAGCTGAGCTGACCTTGCCTTGGAGTCGATGATATTCTTTCAGCCTGTAAACCGATGAGAGAGGCGGGGTGGGGTGGGGGGAGACAGAGAGAGCAGGAAATTAATTCATTGTGAATTAACATTAACAACAAGCAAATCTGAGGCAATTAAGTTCGGTGAAATGAGAAGGGGGTGGGGGAAAACACAAGCAGTTCTCAAAATGTGCACATTTTCTACATTGTTCCCCCCCCCCAATTGATTGCTGCGTAATTAATTCATCGGAAGGAAATAAAGTGGCACACATTATTGCACAGAACAAAGAAGTTAACAGGTATGGGGGGAGGGGGGAGGAAAAAAGCCCGTCATATAAATGCATCACTTTTATGGTCTTTCTTTTCCTTGTCTCTCCCTTGGGGGGGGGGGGGATTGCAGAAATGCCAAAGAATGGTTTGTAGGCAGTATCAGTTAGCAAAGTTTTCTGTTCTGGGGAATTCAGTGACTTTGCAGCCATGGGCATTTGCTCCCTGCTTTATGCTATCTGCTATCTCAAAAGAGGGAGGCAGCTCCTTTCTGGATATAGAAAACTAGCTCTTCGGGGACAAGAGTCCCAGGCTAGCACTAGCCAGCCCCCCCCCTCCCGCTTTCTGTGTGCATTGTTGGGGAGAATGCAATACCCTAGGGGTGCCGGCCCCTAGGTCCCAACGGGGGATCCCTTGGTTTTGGGGACTTCTCCCCACTGTGGACCAGCTGGCTGTCAGGGGAACTCCACCCCTAAGCAGGGACATCACCGTGTGACGTCCCCAACATGACGATGTCACCTGGAAGTGACATCATCGCATCAGGGACATCGCACAGGGGATGCTCTGGTTTTTGGGCAAACTCTATGGTAAAATTGGGCTTAAACCATAGAGTTTGCCCAAAAACCAGAGTGTCCCCCATGTGATGTCCCGGCCCACCCCGAACTCCCCTCAAATCCCCCTGCCGGAGCAGCAAAGGGACCTGGCAACCCTGTGGTACCCACATCTGTACTCTGAAGTGGTACAGCCCAAGATGGACTCTAAGCATATTATTCTATTGACTGTGTAGCTTAGGGTTGCCAACTCTGGGTTGGGAAATACCTGGAGATTTTGCGGATGGTGCCTGGGGAGGGGAGGGGCCTCAGCAGGGCCCAATGCCACAGAGCCCGCCCTCCAAAGCAGCTGTTTTCTCTGGGGGGGGACTGATCTCTGTCACGGGGAGATTAGTAGTAATATAGGAAGATCTTTGGGCCCTACCTGGAGGTTGGCAACCCACTGGCCCTGATTTACATCCCTGCATGTCAAAAAGTGAGCCAATCAGCAGCTGGAACTAATTGTGAGCCTGATTATGATCAACCACACATTTCTAAAAGATCAAATGATGATGTTCAAATTTGGGATTTAAAAAAACAACAACAGCATTGTTAAAAAATCCAAATTATGGATGCAGGTGGAGTTCAGTTTTTTTTAAAAAAAGCATTATACTCGAGTAACAAGAATAAAAATATTGGCTGGGCTCTGAAGGGCTACTTGGTGGGATTTTTTTACTCCCCCTCTTTGAACAGCAGCCCCTACTGCTAGGGTTGCCAACTTCCAGGGAGTGGCAAAAGATCTCCAGAAATCAGTGTACCTGGAGGAAATGGCCGCTTTGGAAGTTGGATTCTGTGGCATTAAACCCCATTGAAGTCCCTCCCCTCCCCAAACCCCGCCCTCCTCAGGCTGCACCCCCAAAATCTCCAGGTGTTTCCCAACCCAGAGGTGGCAACCCTCGCCTCGAGCTGCAGATTCAGCTGAACTCCAGCTAGGCCCAGATGGAAAAAAGGGTGTGGAGCCGCATACCCCACGGCAGATACCAGTTGAGTACTCTGGGGAGGGGCAGGGGTCATTTCCTGCGGGAGCGCACAGGAGCGGAGCTCCGGCAGTAAGGAGCCCAGGGGGCAGGCACATGCAACAAGCCCCGCCCCCTGCTCCCAGCAGCCCTCAGTCGGGCCACAAGGAGCAAGAAGCAGCCAGGTAAATTGCACAGCCCCCCCCCCGGCCCGCCTTCAGGTACAAGCTCTCCCTCCTCTGCGAGGACAGATCTGCACATTCCCCCCCCCCCGCTCCATAGCTAGCAATCCAGAACAGTCCAGTGGAGCCTGAGTGGTGGGTGTTGCCTTCTGACACACTTCTGGTGATGTCAGGGGGTGTGGCATATGCAAATGAGTTATGCTAATGAGCTCCTGCACCTCTTTTTCTACAAAATGACCTCTGGCTCTTCGGCTCCTAGTGGACCACTGGCAGCCGGGAACAAGCCATGGCTCTACCCGCACTGGATAAGGCGTGAGCCTCCCTGCTGGGCGAGGCTATACGCATTGCCATTGGCCTGAGCACAGCAGGACTCCCATGGTGCAGCTACACCCAGGGCTGCTTTGAAGTCCCACTCTGCCCCTGCTCTCATCACCCTGGATGGCCCAGGCTGGCCTGATCTCATCAGAGCTCAGACGCTAAGCAGGGTCGGCCCTGGCCAGTACTTGGATGGGAGACCCCCAAGGAAGTCCAGGGTTGCTCCGCAGAGGCAGGCAACAGCCAACTACCTCTGAACATTTGCCTTGAAAACCCCATAAAGGGTCGTCGTGTCTGCTGAGACTTGACGGCGCGTTCCGCCACGACTTGCCCATCTGATGCCCAAGAGAGTTCACACATACCTGCCTTCCCGTATATCCAGTAACAAACTGCTTTGGGAAACCCCTTTACTTGTACAAGAAGCTTGCTAGAGAATGCAGAGCACTTCCGTTCCTGAGAAGAAGCCCCAGGGTCCTGTCAGGCAGATGGAACAGCTCGTGTAATACTTTGGATCCTGGCCCTTGAACCTGGCACTCTATTTAACTCTGTTGCATTAAAAGTCATGTCTTTTATTTTACTTTTACTTTTTTTGCAAACGGTAACTTCCCAAGCTGAATTTCAAAACCGAAAAAGCAACACTAGTCCATCGTTTTGAAGGGCTGCCCAAGTTTAAAGGGGTATGATTCTTTTGTTCCTGGCCGAAAGGGTTTGTAGAAAGTGGACATATAGCTGGCCTGAACACTGCCTCGGGCCTCCATACAAACCTGAGGGAGTTGATGTTGATGAATCCGGTGGCGTCCGATGGCTCGTAATTCCCCTGGACATCCATGCTACAAGGAGAGAAGGTTAAAGAACCTGTTACCCAGCTCAGCAGAGATGTTTTGGGAGCCCTAGTTAAGGAAGGCAGGCATGGGCTTTCCTCCCTCCCCACCTGTCATGTTCCAGCCCATGTGCAACAAGACACCCATTGGACTGGTTCACTTGTCCCCATGGAAACAAACAGCAACTATTCATTTATATGTGAAAAAGTGATGCCTTTGGGAGTACCTTCAGAGCAGAGGTTAAATCTGTGCCTGGTGAGCCCCAGTTGTGGAGAATACAGCCTGCTCCTATCTTTAGAGTAGGGATGCCAGCCTCCAGGTGGGACCTGGGGATCCCCTGGAATTCAAGCTCATCTCCAGGCTACAGAGATCGGTTCCCCTGGAGAAAAGGGATGCTCTGGAGGGTGGACTCCGTGGCATTGGACCCTACTAAGGTCCCTGTCCTCCCCGGGCTCCATCCCCAAATCTCCAGGAGTTTCTCAACCTGGATCTGGCAACCCTACACCCCCATACCCTGTCATCCTGGGCACTTCTCTCTCTTGGTCATGCAAGTGTGTGACAGACCATCACGAGAACTGGTTCAGAGAGAGAGAGAGAGAGAGAGAGAGAGAGAGAGAGAGAGAGAGAGAGAGAGAATGCAATTGGATGGGAAGGCTAGCTGGTCACTCAGCTCAGATAGACACACAGCATCTGTATGCTAGCAACAACAGCAGTAGCCACATGTCCCTTCAAGATATTGTTGCTAAAATGGGGGCTTCCAGTTTGGTCTCTGTGAATGGCGGTCGCAACTTCGGGAGGCTCCTGGAGGCGATTCGCCCACGCACAGTTAAGGGGGGGAATCCGCACAAGCGGAGACCCTAAGGAGCCTCAGGGTGAGGTTCCGATCCGGGGCGCACAGGGGATGTGCCTCTTTACCGGCCCGAAGGTCGGAAATTGAGGCTCGCCCCATGCCCCAATGGCCCTTGCCGCAGCAGTGCCCCGCACGGGGACTAGCAGAGCCGCCGGACGTCACCGAGTGATGAAGCAGAAAAGCATTTGAAAAGAGAAGCAATCGGCCGAAACCGTGAGTTGGCGATCGGAAACGTGAAAAAAGAGATTAGCGCATTCCCCCCTGTCGAAAAAGCGCAAGGGAGGAGGGGGAGAGCCCCCCTCCTGAATAAACAGAGACTGAATTAATAGAAAGAAGAGGGGGGGAGTGATTTCAAGGCATAAAGGAAATTGAAAAAGAAGATCTCAGAAGTATTCTAGCGGAGGCTTTGGCGCCACTCACCGGCTGGGAAGCGGATAAACTAAGCGAGGAGATGGATCTGGTGTACAGAGCCTACTCCAACTTTACAAAGATGAATAATCTGCCGGCAGAAGTGGTGGTCAAGTTTACCAAACAGAGGATCAGAGATCAAATTTTAAGAGCGTCTTCATCAACGCCTTTGAATATTGGAGAGCAGACACTCAGAATCTGAAAATGTTCCATTTGAAATTCGAATGAAGCGGAAGGCATACAAAGGACTGACCTTGTTCTTGCAAAAACATCAAATTAGCTATAGATGGTTGATTCCAGAAGGACTTATCTTTAAATTTAAAGATAAAAGGGAGAAGATTGACTCCATTTTTAAAGCTCAAGACTTTTTGAAGAGACACGCCAGTCCAGAGGAAGCAGCACTTGCTAAATGGGAGGTATTGGGCAGCGATGAAGACAGCGGCTCAGAGAAAGGGGACAAGAATCCGGAAGATGAAGGAGCAACGAAAGGTCCATCTTACAATCTGAGAGACGTAAAAGAAAGACAGCCCAGAACATGAAGACTGGTTCGGGAAGCGCATGAAAAGACTTTACTAACAATAAACCAAAGGGACACTACTAATATACTAACATTTTTATTTGTTTTCACAGGATACGATGAAAGACCATTGACCAACTCGTGGAAGAAGCCAAAAGAAGATATGATTAATACTAACAAAAGATTAATATACTAATAGAAGCATCACTCACTCTTTTCTTAATCCCACTATATACCCTCCTTCTTTCTGAAATTAAAAGCAATAAAATTCTCTCCTTTTTAGGAGAGTTTACATTAAAAAAAAAGATATTGTTGCTAAAATGGGACTTCCAGTTTTGGCGATCTAATGGCGGACAACCTCTCAGGAGCTCCCGAGGACACGATCCGTGAGCCGGTGGATGAGAGGGGGTGCAATTGTACACGCCCCCCCGGAGCCTTTGCGAAGGGCTCCTACCCATGGGGCGCTGAGGATTGCATCTCCCCCAGCACACTGCCGGGAGATTGAGGTGTTCCAATGCCCCGATGGTCTCGCCGCTGTGTTCCAGTACTGGACTCAGAGACGCACACCGGAACAAGTGAGTGGAGGTCGAGCGCTTTACATGTTTGATGGCGGGATCTACTTGATCGACATTGAGAGTGAGTTTGGTTGAAACGAGAACCAGAGAAATGGCTGAAAGTCCCCCCTAAAGTAAGTGAGGGGGGCAGGTGCCCCCCGTGGAAATAAAAATGGATTTAAAGCATTCCTTAAAAAGGGGGGCAGAACTGAAAGCAAATGGGACTATAGTAAGGAATTTACAAGAGAATTACAGGTGACTTACAGACTTTAGAGACTTTTGGCAAACTTTGTGAATTGTAAACAGCTTCAAAGATGTAGCTGAAGAAGCCGGAGCAAGATAAGCAAATGAAACCTAAGCTTTTTTCAGGAAGTGCTAGCCCAGTGAGTGCGGTCAGAAGACCGGAAACAACCATAGACTTCTCTAAGGTGCTAACAGAAGCATTGCGACCCCTGCTGGAACAAAAGATGACACTCAATCAAAACTTCACTGCACAGCAAGAGCAACTAGACGAAACTTAAAAAAAAACCAGAGCAAACAGCTGATAATCTTAAAGAAGTGGATGCCAACACCAAAAAGCTCAAAAGGCAAATGCAGAAGATAGAAAAGAAGAGAAACGCTGACGAAGTCCAGCTTTTACAGCTTCAAATGGAAAAGGCAAGCTTTACACTGAGATATCAGGGAGTTCCTGAAACTAAAGGGGAGAATCTTAAACAGATCTTGAGTGATGCTTTGGGACCTGTTGCAGTTTTTAAAGCAGATTTTCTTCAAGGCGAAATGGATGTGATCTATAGGTCATATTCAGAATACATAAAGAAAAATAATCTGCCCGGCGAGGTGGTGGAAAGATTCTCCAGAAGATACATGAGGGATCAGATATTAAAAGCAACATATGGAACTACCCTTAAAATTGATGGCAAGGAGATAAGAGTTTTGAAAGACATTCCCTTTGAAATAAGGGGGAAAAGGAAAAAATATGGAGACTTGGCTTTGTTTCTACAAAAGAATAACATATCCTACAGATGGATTGTACCCAAAGGTATACTCTTCAAATTTAAAGATACGAGGAAAAAATTGACTCTGTTATGAAAGCAAGAAAGTTTTTGCAGCAACAACTGGATCCAACAGGAGAAGAGGATGAGAAGAGCAACAAGAGGAGTGATGATAGAGCACTTACTGGAGAAGACTCGGATTTGGAACGTGGGGCAGCTGCCCCCAAGCAAGAATATCAATTGAGGGGGGAAAGAGGCAAGTGAGATGCTAATTCTCTCTGAAGTTTAACTTTTTACTTTTTTTTTTTTGCAAATATATTTATTAGGGTTTTATCATATAAGCCTGTATCATACACATATAACTCATCAAGACTACATACAAATCCTATAAGTTCATTTTTCCAACAACACAGAACCATCAATCAAGCATCCAAGGTAACATAGCTACATATCTTGCTCTTGTTCTCAACCTTAACATCCAATCTGTATCGAATACTAAATTATCTTTTAACTGTCCTTGAAGTTTATATACTGCCTCAATTAACCTGCATGATCCTATTGGCAATATAAAGCATACATAACATCTTATTTGACTTCTAACATAATACCAACTTTCCTGCACCTTTTAGTAGTCTATTAGATCTTATTTCCCATATGAAACAGGGTTTAATATCATATTTATTTATTTTTCATTATTTTCTTTTTTATCTTTAATTTTTCAATGACTCTTTATCTTCTATATATTGGATAAACCTTTCCACCCACACTTTGTCACAATTTTAACTACTAGGTTTACTCTCCTACGTTTTTTCCCCCTCCAAGTCTTTGGCCCCAAGTTGATTTTCCTAACCCATCTATGTAGTATATTATCTTATCAAGATTATTCATGATGGCAGAGAGAAGAACAAAGTGAAACTGAAGAAGAAGAGGAAGGAGAAGTAGTTAGAGAAGAAAGCGAGATAGAAAAAATGGAGAAGGAAAAAGAGAAAAAAGACAAAGGGCCAAAAAAACTTACTTTACCCCATCCCAGATGCTAACCAGACATCAACAAAGAGCAAGAGAACAAGGAAAAAGAACCAATAAAAAGTAGATAAAAAATACTAATAAAACAAAAAAAGGGAGATGGAACAGCAGAGATTACTTAAAGTGTTTTCAGTAAATGTTAATGGTCTGAACAGCCAAACCAAAAGAAGAAAAATTTTCCATCAACTTAATAAGCTTAAAACTGAAATAACCTACATACAAGAGACGCACATAAAAGAACAAGACCAAAAATTTCTGGAAAATAAGAAACTTGGTAAAGTCTTTATAGCCTCTGATGTGATAAAAAAAAGGGGAGTAGCAACCTATGTTAAAGAATACTTAAATCCTGAATTGGTACATGCCTCCAAAGATGGACGAATTCTAGCAGTAAGAATTACAAGGCAACAGAAAAAACTTCTGCTAATAAATATATATGCACCCAATCAGAAACAAGAACAATTTTATAAAAGTTTAAGAAACCTTTTGACCACAATTAATGAACCAGAACTTTGTTTAATTGGAGATTTCAATGCTGTATTAGACGGGAATGAGGATAGAAAGACCCAAACAAGAAACAAAAAATCAGGAAATAAATTGCCAAAGGAATTTCTAGAAATAGCGGAGGAGCATAGTTTAATCGATGCTTGGAGGGTAAGGAACGCAGA